TCCCTTTTCCCTCCTCGTGCTGGCCGTGTGGTGCCACTGCTTCTCTTGTGCTAGTTTGTCAGACTCCTCAGTGAATCTGTGCAGCTCACCAAGCAGGCAGAAAAGTAATTTGGCAAACTGTCAGCTCTCTAAATCAGCTGACTGAGGAGTTGGATAGGTATCAGACACAGCACTGGACAACTGGTGGGACAACGTGGTTGGGGGTGATTGAAGAGCAAACGCATCCCCACCTCTTTGCGGGCAGGACTCAAGGATTTCTTGCATATTTCCAATGTTTACTTTGGTTCTCTCACTTAAGTCCTTCACCTATCTATCTCCACCACAAGTGGATGCCTATGTATCCCTCCACCCTTGTCCTAACCCATGCAGCCCTGCTTTCTTCCAGTGGCAGGAACTTCCTGAGCACCTCAGAGCTCATCCGCTTGCCAGATGACTGCACCGTGGGTTACATCATTGAGTGCAAAGTCGGTGGGCAGCTGCTGTCCAATGCACTCTTCCACTCTCACCTGGAGAACCTGCAGCTCATCCCCTCATCTCAGCTCACTCAGCAGGTGAGGAGGGGGATGGGGCAAGAGAGAGGTGTGTGAGGAAGGATAGATGGAGGAGGGGAGCTGATTAGCACATTCCCTGGTTGGTGGCAGTGATGTGAATTGATTCAATTGCCTGCTCTTTTGAGGAGGCTTTCCTGAAAAACACTTCCCTGAAGGAAGGGGCAAACATTGCCAGTAGCACAGCTGCCAATCACAATGCATCTTGGTTTGGTGGTGGGGAGCATGTTTATGGGAAATGAAGGGAGGATTGTGGGGGGATTCCTGAGGGGAACGTGGCACCAGGACAAGGAGAGCTTGGGGAAGGGGCTTTGCACCGTGTCTGCCTCACAGCAGGAGATAACAAGAGACATGGAGGACGTAGAGAGGGCAAAGGGTTGGCGTGGTGGACCATTGTGGGAAGGAGGAAAGGAAGGTAGAGGCCAAGCCAGAACAGAAGAAACAAGATGGGAATTCTGTAGCCCAAAGCAAGTTCCTTGCTCCTAAACTCATCACGTCACCCTCCCTGCTCCTTCCTCCCCACCCCTCTCTGCAGGTCACCGTCAGTTATGGTGTCTTTGAGAATAAGCTCAATGTTATTGAACTCAGTGGCCCCTTCTCACCCCAGGAGGATCCCTCAAGGTATGGGGCATAAGCACTCTGAGGATTGCTATGATTTGAGCCATCAGCCAATAGGCTGGGAGTGGGAGGCAGCCAAATGGGATGCAGGAGGTCTAGAATGGGGGACAGAAACCTTGCAGTCACGTGGCTTACTGGGTGGAGGCACAGCTTCAAGCTGCTTGTGAAGGAACCCTTTTGGATTACTGGGAAAAAGAGGGATCAAAACATTTTATTTGGACAGTTCCAGAGCGAAATGTATTGCTGGTTTACTTCACATTTTGAGGCTGAACAAGCTAACCTTTACCCTATGGGACAGGAACTGAAATGTTCTTTTGAACTCAGGAAAGGAAATTCTTTTTTTTGTTTTTGTTTTGTTGAGAAAACTGAAGAGAAAAAAGAAAAAGGTTCATTTCAGGCTGACTGCAAACAAAAGTGTTCTTTGATTTATCTTCTCTGCTTTGGCAAGAAAACCTAAAGCTGTTGTTTGAAGAGCACTAGTAGGAAGTTCCTGGCTGCAGATGGCAGGGTGGAAAGCAGTGAGGCAATGAAAAGAACATCAAGAGAATCATGCAGTGGTGGCTGGTGCACTGCCGATCTCATTGCTTGTGACTGGAGTGAGCCATGGACTTGGGCTACATGGGCCAGGGCTGGATGCAGTGTTAGAGTGAGGCTTGGCTGCTCAGCTTTGTCAAGATGAGACATCCTGAGATGTACAATGAGTCCTGGAGCACTGCAGGGCAGGGAGAGCATCTAGTGTGGGATGGGACATGAGAGACAAGTCCTCCATTCTCCTGCTTTGCACTGTGGTAACAACTATCACCTGACCTTCCTTTACTCTCTCCCCAGCAGGTTTCGATCACTTCACTGTCGCCTCTATCCGGACACCTCCTGGTGCCTGCAGCCTGTTGGCCGGTGATGCCTGAGCCTCAGCAACAGTCTCCTGGTGACCTCTGTTCACCTTGTGCATGTCGAGGGTGGGACACTGAGTAAGCTTGGTGCTCCCAACTTCCCCCTTGCGATGATGGCCTTGGGGCTGTGTGATGACTTTTTGGTCTTTGCTGAGTCCTGGTGACACAAGACAAGAGAAATCTGTGCCAAATATGAATAACATGGGCTGGACACATGCATGTGGCTTTCCCTCTCTGCTGAGATGCTTACAGGGGATGGGAGCAGTATGCCTTCCTGAACAAAGCAAGGCTTGGGTGGTGGCTGCTGGGCATCTGGATAGAGATGGGGACCTACTTCCCCTTGCTGTGGATTCATCCTATTGGACTAGAAAGGCTCTGGGTCTGGGTACCCAGGGCCTGACTGAGAATCACTGATACCATATCTTTGCTCCAGCCTCTCTGAGCAGGCCCTCTTCCTCCACATCTGCCTGTGCTTACCCCATTGCTGACTCTTCCCAGCCACAGTCCCTTGTCTGAGTGTCTGCTAAGTCAAGGTCTGATTCTGACCACCCTTTACGGAAGGAGAATGTGGCCATTTCTTCTGAATTAGTGCTGGAAAGGCACAGTTCTTGCCCTGTAAAGGAGAGATGAGCAGAAAGTACAAAAGAATCAGGAATTCCCCTCTGATGGGACAAAGGAGAGGGTAGGGGATGGCAGGGGACAGGAGGAGAGAGACAGAGAGGAAGATGGTTCCTGCACTGAATGTTGAAGGCTTGCTCTTTTATGGCCCTGCATTATTCCTCTCTCTTTACCTTCTTGATATGGGGTCAGGATAATCTTTTGCTCTAATTAACAACCTGTCGTTGGAGATTAGACTCCAACTCCTACCTGTGAAAGAAGAGACATAAAGGATTAGAACTGGCTGAAAGAGAGAAGAAAGGAAGAGATGGAGAAGGAATGCTCAGGAGCGGATTAGAGGTTACAGCTTTATAATCTTCCCTGTGCCCCTGACCAAAAAAACTTAAGTCATGAATGAATGGAAAGAGCAAGGCAAAGAGCTTTTTTATCTTTGCATTTCTTTCCTGTAGACACTAAGAGCATCTTTCTCCTTTTCCCCTGCCCCCAGCCCTGCTGACTGCAACAGGGAGAAGGAGCAGTCCCAGATAGGTTACAAGCTTTGTGGCACATTTTATGGCAGAGTTTCTTTTCCAGTATAGAGCCTAGCATGACACCTGGACAATTCTCATCACCAGGAAATGAACCCTAGTGACATTTTTAACTTGCACATATGGTTAAACGGTTGGTGGAGAGTGTTCCTTGGAAAGCTGGAAGGCAAAGGGGCGGTTTTCAATGCCAGCAGTGCCACAAACAGGTACTTCTCTTTAAAGAGTATTTCAGAACACACTGCTGTGGTCTGTGAAAGTTTCCTGTAATCTCCAGATGAAAGGACAAATGCCCTTTCTCCAAAGAGCTGCTCAGCTTTGATGCTTATGATGTGACTGCTGCAGCCAAGGCTGCTGCTTGGCTTAAGTGCCAAGGGGGAGCATCACTGTGTCTCTACCATTTTGAAAACTGGACACATTGTCCCCTCACTCCTCCCCACAAACAAACACCAGCATCTCCTACACAGCATGCACAAGGTCTAAAACAAACAAAAGGCATCAGAGAGGCCTTCCACCTCAACAAAGAGGGATCTAGAAATGAACGAGCATTTTAATTTCTGGAGAACCAGAAAGCAGGGGCCTGTGGAGCTGTTTCCCAGTCTGGTCATTCTTACAGGCGTTAGCCAGCTTGTGAGGCGGCACAGAGCTCTGCTTTCTTCTCTTGCACAACGTGTTTTTGAACTGGAATTTTTTTTTGAGCATGGACAGGGACTATTGATGCCAATGACCACTTTTTGAGGAGTGAAAAACACTCCTCACACAGCTACGTGAAGCCAGGAACCATGTGGTTCAAAGCAGAGACATCCAACTCTTGGAAGACAGGTGCAACCTACAAAGGAGTTTCAAGTCCTGACTATAAGACAAATGACTGGGTTTAAGCTTAACCAGAAGATGAAAAATGCTTCCATGAGGAGAAACGAGAGTCTGCAAGAGAAATCTACGGTACTCGGATATTTTCCTTTCTCTCCATTTAAACTGTTAGCTTTCTTGTTAATCAAACCTTTAGGTTAAAAAGCCAGTCCTATTTGTAGAAGTCCTGATGGCAGTCAAAGCACAGTGTGATTCATGTGCCTGAAGAAGCTGATACAGCAGACTCACTTTCTTGTGGAAAAGCAAGATATAGAAATCAGAAGCCCACTTTGGATCCCGACATCAGCCAGTCTGAATTGGCCTGTTGCTGTTTGCATGGCTGAAGATCTGGTGTTAAATGGGTCGAATCGTTGAGTGGCTTCAGGGGGGACCAGTCTAAGACAGGGGGCTTTGTTGCTGAAGCAGTAGGTACCACTTCTGTGGAATATGCCTTCTCTCATAAGGAAACTAAGAACAGATGAGAAGATGTCTTGGGCAAGACATGTCTTGGGCTGTAGAAAAATGAATGACGGAAAGTTCTGTTATGCCTGTGATGACAATGCCCTGGAAAGAAAACTGCTTCTCAGAGCCAACAAAAGGAACCAGGATTTCTATAAGAACAGAGAGGCAGCTTAAGGGGACATTCTCCGCTTGAAATCTGATCAGTGTTAAAACCTGAGTTAAAATTAGTTTCAGGAATGGTTCCTGCCCTTGGGGCTTGCTGTCAGATGTTATGATTTTACAGTCTTGTTTTCCTAGTTTATTAAAATGTTTAGCTGCTTGGGAAAATGAGAAACAGTCTCATGTGAAATTTTTCAGGAGACTGTCTATTTTTTCTTCCCCTTCATGATTTTCTGATGTAACAGCTAAAGATTTTGGAAAGGTTCCCCTACCTCTACTGAATTTTTTTTCTTTCTTTTTTATTCCCCTCCCCCCCTCCTTTGCAGTAAAAAGCCTATCCCAAGAACTAGAAGGGATGGAGACATGTTTTTTTCTTTTTACTGGGAAAAATGGGGCCGAAGTCAAAGGTGTTGGCATGACCCTGCTGTTGTACAACATTAAGTGTAGTTCAAGGTTTCAAGTACAGAGATCTCAGGCTGCCCAACACCATAGCAACGAACAGCATTAATTGTGTTTAAACTGTATCCTGAAGATCTAGAAAAAGGAGAAGGAGGGGAAAAAAGCAGTTACAGTATTTGAAATGTAAAGTATTAAGTGAGTCTTTCATGTTAACAATGTCTTTTCTTCACTTTCCCTTTAGCTGTGAAGAATTTTTATAAGGAAACCCATAGCTGACAGTGCAGAAAATGCTAATGACTATCCTTTCTTTAGAAGGAAAAGAGAAGTTAGCTGAAATAGGTGGGAAATTGCAGTTGTTGCTAAAGGCTTGAAGGGGATAGAGAAGAATAGGGAAGCTAGACAATGCTTCTGTCTCTGGTGCCAACTCCTCTTAACAACTCTGCTGCCGAAGGAAAACAGATTTCTTAGCCTCTGGGAGATTTAGCAAACTTGTACCCCGATTACAGCCTTCAGCTCTTTCTGCAGGCCTCTTGCAAAAGGTGCAGCCTTCAAAAGACTAGCAGTTTACTAAACAGAAGCCAAAAGGTGAGAAATAGGAATGGAAAGCAAGGAGGTTGGAAGGAAAGAAACCATCAGCTAGGGCCTAGGAGGAGAACATGGGAATTTAAGCTCTGCATTGAAAGTGTTTTTTGGGAGCTGCCCAGCAGCAGTGGGAAAAGGGGTGTTGCCTGGACCCCCATCTCTGGATGTTTTTGTGATCAGAACAATGGTAATCCTCCAATGCCACAGTGGATGCCAGTCTGTAGGTGAGAGTTCACGCTGAAAGAGGCGGTAATCAGGACTGTTCAGTCCTATTGGCCCCCCATTTTTTTTTTCAAATGAATGCCCCAGAAAAGCTAATATGTTTTCATCTGGCAGTTATGCTTAATTCCTAACAGCAGTTTTGGCCTCTGAACCTGCAGCTTTCCTCTACCCTTGCTTACAACACTGGCTCTTCAGACAGTCCAGGGTTGGGATCAGCAGCTTTTTTCAGCCATTCATTTATTTTTTGTTCGCAATCCTTGAATAACCCTAGAAGACAACTGAGTTGCCATTTTGCGCCCCTGGCCACCTGCGCTCTACACACCAGCCTTCTCTGACTCCTAGGCACTACATTCTTGTTTACAGTAAGGTGACTGGATGTACGCTTTCAAATGAACTCAAAACAAGGCTTGAACTCCTATTTCTGTATCTATAGTGATGCACCTTCATGCCTGTGCTCTGCTATGCACTCCTTTCCTAACTGTCCCCCAGTCATTAACAGTAAGCAGTGGGCTCTGTGTGTAGTTAAACTATGGAACTCATTGGTGCAGGACAATGAGTCAGTCACAGCTTTGAATTAATTAGAAAGAAAGAACCACACAATGAGTGGAAGTAAGCTCCTACTAAGTCCAAGCTGATGATAAGATCTCTCTGCCCAAAAGTAACTCTAACCATCCCTAGAAGGAACCAGGAGGAGTCCCTAGAGGGACAATCTCTGTTTCTGAGGGTGCAACTTTATGAAAGGTTAAAACTATGTTTTTCAAACTTTTTGTCTGAGTTAGTTTTCAGCCTGTCCAGCTCCCTATCCAAAACTGTCCTCTAATATAGCTATGTGAAAGATTGTGCCAGCAGGAGGAAGGATCAGAGCACACTTCTGGGGGTGGATGCAAAAGTGAATGGGGGGTGACCGCTCCATTCAGTTATTGCAAGGGCACAGAGAAGCATGAACCATCCATATGTTCTTCCCCTAGGCACCTACTAGCAGCTGGTGCCAGAGATAGGATCTGATGCTAATTGGGACTTTCTTCTGTCCCAAATACCGCTGGGCTTATGGCTTCACTGAAGATGATGTGACTGTTACCATAGACATAAGCAAGGCCAAGAAGAAGAGCAGTATCACAAATGTACAAATAACTGTTTCTGTTCTCACCAGCTGATGTAGGAACTTTTCCTCTAGTCTTTCCTGGGAGGTTAAAGGAGTGCAGGGCTGAGCTGTTGCTGCTCAGTTGGCATTGCCTCTTAAAGACTGCTCCTTGACAGCCTGAATTTTCTGTTGCTCCCTGTTTGATCCAGCTTGGACTCCAAGAAAGCTGGGAACTCATCTCTCCCTGTTTGAACTGTATGTGATTAATTATAGACCTCAAGAATGGGCTGCTTGTCTATCTCTCATGTTTAAATTGCCTTCTAAGATTTTGCAAGGCTAAGGAGCCTCTTTCGATGTTGTGCCTGACCGTGCTTTGGTCAAGCATCCCTTGGTTTTGCTGGGAGCTGCATCTGATTCATAGTGAACTTTGAAAACAAATTAAACAGAGTGCTTTGTACATGGATTCACTGGTCCTGACCTTTCTTCTGCTGTTTGAGAAGAAAACTGTTGATTTTAGTAACAGAAGAAGCAGGTCTAAATAGTGCAATTGGATGGAGAGAGATGCTGCTAGTCTTAGTCCCTGCCTTCCCCATCCCATCTTCAAAAGTGGGGCAAAGGGAGAACTGCACCTTGGTGCCTTTGGCCACAGTTTATCATGCAGGGGATATGCCATGAAATATCTGGTGTTTGCACTAGAGGGAATCCAGTACAGCGGAAGGGGAAGCAGAGCCCCTCCATACCCCCCTCCCTTTCCCTCAGCACTCAGCTAGTGTTGGACGGTGTCTGTTTTTAGAAAAAAAGTGGCAGATTCAACAGCTGAGCTGATTTTCCAAAGGGACACATAAAACAAACAGCCTGCCATCTGCTCTATTGTCCTGGAATAGTGACTTGGGGGGGTGAGGGAGAGGGAAGGAGGAGAATGGAGGGAAGGAGAAATGGAGGTGGAGGGAGAAGGTTGGAAGCAGGGGCAGAGAAGGAGAGGAAAAGGTGGAAGAGGCAGAGAGGTGAGGAAGAGATCATGGGAGTGAGGACAGTAAAGGTGGAGGCTATCAGGGAGTTAGAGGAGGAGGTAAAGAAAAAGGGGAGCTGTGTGAAAATGAGAGTGTGGTGAGGGAGAGGTGGTGAGGGGAGAAGGCCAGGGGACAGGAACGGGGGCAAACAGGCCCTCATTAGAATCGCCCTGGCTGGATCTGTCTCAGCACTGTGAGCCACAGGGGCAGCAGCTCCAGCATCCCTGACCCTGTGTTATGCTGGAGTGAGAGCCTGACTGCAAAAGAAGCAAACTGGACTTAGTGGCCTGGATAACCACTCCCCTTCCACCCACACAGCCCTCCCTGTTTGCTTGGCATACATTCCCCCCCTCTGTGTTGGCTTTTATTGAGTGCCGCAGGGCAGGGTTTGAACTCCAGGTTTGGCAGCAGAGTAAATAACAGCAACATTGGCCTCTTCAGCCCAGGAGGGAGGAGGGCTGGTTTTAATCAAAGGTAAATAACAGCCGGTATTCTCTGACTCTTAATCCAATTTCCTAGAACTGGAAAACAATGTTCCAATTTAGACACGTGGCCTTGGCCCATGGGAGAGGGACTGTAGAGATGACAACTCAACCAGGCAGCTGCTAGGCACTGCACAGCCAAGGAGAGCAGAACTAGGGAAGATGCAACAAGGCAGGTAGTTTGTTCAGGCTGTCCTGGGATTAAGTTGTTCTTTTCTGAATCTTCCTAGTGGATTTTACTGGCTATAATCATCCCAAGAGGTGGGACAAGCTGGCTGGTAGGCAGCTTGTCCTTGTGCAAAGTGGGCCAAGATGGTAGAGGCTCCCTGATCTGCTCTGTTTTCAGGAGAAATGGGGGCCAGCTGACACCCTGCATCTGCATCCCTGAAGGGTATTTTAACTTTCATGGTGACCTGGAAAATGTTCACTGTGAGGTCATGCTTCCTGGCATATAGATGTGACAAGAATTACCATGTATCCTTGCTACATGGCAAGTGTGAGCAAGTTTTCAGTGTCTGAAATAAATGTTTGTGTTGTGACTAGTCTGGTAACACAAGGGTCTGGGTGACTGGATGGTTTGTGCTCTGACTTGATGACATATTGGAATCACAAAGAGTTAAGGAGCTAGTGTTATCTAGCTATCAGGATGTTTTCTAGTCCTGTAGCAGGCTGGACTGCTTAAATCCCACCTGACAGATGTTTTTCCAGCCTACTCTTAAAATCAGGTTGTTCTGGTTCAGACAACTGGAGTCAGATTGGAAAACAAGGTTGCTGGTAACAAAGCACTGGTACTAAGTTGATCCTGGAAAGATAGGTTTGTTCTGCAGCTCTCTGCCAACACTAATCTGCGGGTGTTCATGGAGCAACCCTTGGGCACTGCTTTCTCCTCTGCAGGGCAGCTGCTCTGCAATTCCCTGGCACAAAACTGGCCTGGTGTGGCCAGGTCTTGTTTGAAATGAGACAGACACATACTTGAGCTGAGGACAGAGGAGGCCAGTTCCTTTCCAGCCTTTTCATCTTGCAAAATCACCTGGCAGCCCATGACAGATTTCAGCTGCAGTGGACACAGAGCACATGTCCATCCTGTGGGTGGACTGGGCTTTCAAGAACACTTGCAGACTAACCTCTTTGTAAATCTCAAGGGCATGGAGAGAAAACACCCCATCAAGAGCTCCCTAGTGAGGGATGTGCCACAAAACACACAGTGGTTGTGTGAGTACCAGTTCCCAGTTGTATGATCTGGTGTAGGTGAAACAGCTGTCTCCATCCTCCCATCTCAATTTCTGCTATTCCGATATGGATGCTTTCAGCTTGGGCCTCAGCAGCAATGGGGACAAGGAGCACACAGAGAAGGCTAGGGCACCACAGGTGAGGGATACTGAGAGTCTAGCCTGAGGAAGAGTGAGGTATGTCCTGCACAGAGGGGCTAGGAGGCATGGATGGCTGATCCTTACGTTGTCCTACCCAAACAGGACAGAATTCCCAGAATTCCTAGAACAGGACAGGTTCTGGAGGTGCCTCATGTTGATTCAGCTCTCCACCCCTGGGCACATGCTTTGTTACCAGTCAGCCAGCCCTGCTCTTACAGGATCCAGCCCCACTGCTGAAATTACTGGTGGGAGAGAGGAAGGGGTAAAATATCTTTTACATCTAATTGATTGTGCATTTCTTTTCCCTCTGTTCAGCTCACTCCAGGGACCCCACTGTCATTTTAACTATTTGAAGACTGAGGAATGGCCACAGCCCTTTGGGCCCGACAGGAGGCAGAGTAGAGGAGAGGGGCTGTGGGGCCTGGGGCTGGGAGTCTGCAGGCTCTGGTCAGCACCCTGGACAAGGCCAGTCCCTGCCATGGCCTTGCCTTGCCTTGCCTTGCCCTGCCTTGCCTTGCCTTGCCTTGCCTTGCCCTGCCTTGCGTTGCCTGCCCTGCCTTGCGTTGCCTGCCCTGCCCTGCCTTGCCTTGCCTTGCCCTGCCTTGCGTTGCCTGCCCTCCCTTGCC